GGGTTGTGCAGCTCAGTGGTAGGGTGCTTGCCTAGCATGTGTGAGGCACTGGGTTCAATTCTCAGCCCCACATATAAATAAMTAAAATAAAGGTCTATTGACAACGAAAAAATATTTTAAAAAATCAAGTAACAGAGGGGAATGGGAAAAAAAACAAGGAGAGAAATGAATTACAGTAGATGGGGTAGAGAGAGAAGATGGGAGGGGAGGGGAGGGGAGGGGGGATAGTAGAGGATAGGAAAGGTAGCAGAATACAACAGTTAATAATATGGCATTATGTAAAAATGTGGATGTGTAACCGATGTGATCCTGCAATCTGTATACGGGGTAAAAATGGGAGTTCATAACCCACTTGAATCTAATGTATGAAATATGATATGTCAAGAGCTTTGTAATGTTTTGAACAACCAATAAAAAAATCAAGTAAAAAATAAACTGATTAAAACATGAGCAAAGAATTTGAATAAACATTTATCCAAAGACAATACACAAATGGATATCAGGTAAAGGAAAATATGGTCAACTTTATTACTCACCAGGGAAATGCAAATCAAAACCAAAATGAAATATCACCTTATATTTTATAGGTGGCTATTATCAATTAAAAAAAYAATAGTTGCAAGGATGCAGAGAATTTGACACCTGGATGTGGAGAATTCAATACACTCATGGTAGGAATGTAAACCATTGCAGCCATTAATGAAAACTGAAGTTTCCAAAAAAAWTTTTTTAAACTATCATGTGACTCATCAATCCCACTTCCATGTGCAGATTTTTGCATAGAAATCAGTTGTATCTCAATAAAGGTGTTTAAAAAATAAAATAAAAGCACCAAAGAAAGTTTTCCTCAAAGAACCTCAATCCTCTAGTTTATTTCTATAATAGTATCTTGTATATAGGGGCACCCACATTTTCATTAACCTGGCAAACTGATGCATGTTTCACAAATACCCATATTTTCTATGAATAAAGGCATGGGCCAATAATTTGGATTTTTTCATGTACTTTCTGCCTTTGTTAATATAAAAAGTAAAGTTATTTTTAGCTTTTTAATTTATTTTTCCTAAGCAAAGTCATCTAATAAGGATTTTACTAGTTTTTAATTTGAAATAAATTTAAATCCAGGCTTAAGCCTATTAGTATATTAACTTACCTTCAGTTCTGAAATGATAAAACAATAAAAATACAGATATTGTTCATAATAAAGAAAACAAATGGTACATATCTTGTTTTTCAAGTTCACAGGCTGTCTGCTTCAGCAAAGTATCTACATACTGCAAGTTTTCTTTCCTCAAATTTTGTAGCACTTTCATTACCATGTTGCTAACTCCTCTCCTCATTCCATGCATTTGTAATTCTACTTTACACAAGTGTGTTATAGAATTAATTCTTTTTCTAATATTTATTTTTTAGTTGTAGTTGGATACAATATCTTTAATTAAATTTTTATTATTATTTATTTTTATGTGGTGCTGAGGATTGAACCCAGGGCCTTGTCCATGCTAGGCAAGCACTCTACCGCGAGCCACAACCCCAGTCCTAGAATTAATTCTTATCTCAGTTTCTCACCATCTTTCTTAATTCTTTCTCTGTGAACACCCTTTTGCTTTTGGAAGTGCTAACCTTTATTATTATTATTATTATTATTATTATTATTATTATTATTCAACTCAATAACAAATATAGGGACTAAGCATAAGATGGGAATGTTGCATTTTAAAGGTCAAGTAAATAGAAATCTGGAGATTAGAGAGCTCTACCTCACTTATTCTAAAACCAGAGATGAAAATATGGGAACCATATGAAATTTTCTTTCTTTTCTGTATCCCACATCTATTATCCCATTTGCCTGAGGGCCTCTGTGGTAGTAGTGGGAACAGGGAGAAAGGAGAGAGGAAGGGAAGAAGAAAGCAAGAGTTGAATAAAATTAAAAATTGCAAAAAATGCATATAGCTATCATTTAATGGGAAATATAAGCACCTAAGAGACATACAAGATTGAAATAGGAGAGAGAAGAGTAGGTCTTTTGTATCAAAGAAACAAACTGAATCTGAATCTGAAATTTCAGTATTCTAAATTAACCTACCTATAGTTYTTCAGGGGTATATTTACAACCTAGTCGTCATTTTCAGTAATACACTCATTGCATTTCCACATGTGTGAAGCTGATTTGGGGCACAATCCGTCCTCTCTCTCCCCTACCTCTGGCCTCTCTTTCTCCAATCTGAAGATACACAGCACACTCAACTGAACTCTGGTTTTCCAAAAATGTTTTAGTACTCCCAGCCACCCCTTTCTTCTTTCTGGTCTCAAATCAATTTTTATTCCCAGATTGTGCAAGTAGGTAGTTGGTTGGCCTGGTTATCCTATTAAAATAATCAGATAAAAATGAGTAAAAATTTTTGTTCAAAAGGTGTATTTTAAAGGAGGAGGTTGTTAATTCTAGTAAGTCTATGTGCATTCTCTGGTTCTTGTATAAGTGACTTTTCATCAATTCCCAGGGGAAAAAACTCTACCCCCAGAACAATTAAAACACAACCATTTAAGTGGAAAATGTATATAGGAATTATTTTTGAAATGAGGTACATACGACAGTTCCTGCTCTAGTTAGAGGAACCTTCATTTACTACTCCCATCAATCCAGAAATCTGATCAGCCTTTTCCCATTTCTCCCCTCACTTTGACAAATAACATACTTTGCAGTAGAATAAGGTATTTTTTGGGGAGAGTGAAGAGCAGAAGCACACTGAGCAGTGGCAGGCCTACAATCCAGTCAGTCTTGCACTAACAAAATAAAAGAAAGAGGAAGGGATGAGAAGATACATAACACATATTAACTTTCACTAAAAATTAAAACTAAAGAAAAGTTGTAAGAACAATACAGCGAATGACCATATAAACTTTAGTAATACTCATCAAGTCAACATTTCTAATTTGTCTTACTTATCTTTGCTCAACCATTTGAGAGTAAGTTGCACATATCACAAACTTTTATCCCTAAATATTTTAGTAGTATTTCTTAATAAGGGCACCCTTTTTCATAATATAGTACAATTATGAAATTCCAAAAGCTTAAAATTGAGATAATACTTTTGTCTAATATTCAAATTCAAATCCATATTCAAATTTCACCAATCATCCTTTATAACATGTTTTTCTAGGATCACACATTGCCATAACTGGCATGTCTCTTTTATCCCTTAAATCTAGAACTGTTCCTCAGCCCTTTGTCTTTCACGACACTAACATTGTTTAAGAGTACAGGTCAGGTATCGAGTAGAATGTTTCTCAATGTACATTTTTCTGATTGTCGCTTTTTGTGATGGATTCATAATATACATTTTGTTTCCAGGGATATTGAATACGAAATATGTCTTCAATGCCTCACATCAGGAAGCACATCATGTTATTTTATTCATTAATAGTGACATCAACTTTCATCACTTGGTTAGGGTGGCAGCTGTCAGCTTTCTTTACTGTAAAGGTGCCTTTGCTAACCCTTTCTAATAATAAGCAATCCAAAGATACTTTGAGATTGTGTACATATCATTTTTCCCAGATTGTTCCACCCAATGATTTTAACACCATTTAACAGATTTGTCTGAATCAATTATTACCATAATAGTTGCAAAATGGTGACTTTGTAGTTTCACCATTTCTTCTACATGCATTTGTTTGGCATACCACTGTCAAGAACTGTAATTTCTCCCCCCTTACATATTTATTTAAAATATATTGTATTTTATTTATTTATTATTTATTATATTATTATATTTATGTATTTAAAAGTTAAAGTGAAAATATGGGTTCTTTTTAAAAATCCAATGTTTTATAATCCATATCTATCATTATTCTTTTTTGATACTTAAATTGCCTCTGATTTGGTAAATGGAGGTAACTTCAAGCTGTCTTCTTTTGTCTTTTGACATATCCTTGATATATACAAGAAATCTCCTTGCTTTCTGGTACAAAATCTTTTAAGAGCACTTTATACTTTCCTTGTCTCTTCCTTCAAATGAGCCAATCTGCTAAGGAGTCTGGCTCCTTTTAGTGGAGAACGGTATTCACAAACCAAGATCTGGAGGCACATAATATATTTCAAAATATTAAAATTTTGCTGTTCCTGTTTTACCATATGAAAGACTGGTGTGATAATTCATAATCCTAGCATTACCTGTATGACCTTGTCAATTCCCTTCATTCCTTGCTGCCTCCCTCGTCATATCAAACGGAACTGGATTAAAAACACATTTCTTAATCTTTTCAGGGTCACTCACAGTTTGGGAATCCGATAAAAGCTATGATCCCCTTTCCCCAGGGACACTCTCAAATAAGCAAAACTTTCCCTACAATTTCAGGGCGTTCCAGCTTCCAAAGGCCACTGGAGCTTCCAAATGCCTGGGTTAAGAATCTCTAGGGTCTGTCTCTTCAATTCTGTGAGTCTATATGCTGTCAGAATGAGTCTTTAGCGACATCAAAATGTGGAAGGACGTATATAGCAACAAAATGAGAAAAGGACACAAAGAAAGAAGCCTGTGAGCAACGCGTTACTCAGCCACAGTTCTTTGCTGAAGCCAAATTTAGGGAGCACTCTACTCATAGGTGAGAGATTTTGGCGGGAAGGTCCGCAGGTGGGCGGAGAACGCCGGGGCAGAGCAGCAGCCCACAGGCCAGATGCAGGTCGATGCACACCTCCGATCGGCCCACCAGGGCTCGCTCTTGCCCTTCGGCTGGAAGACCGGGAAACCGGGCGGGCCGGGCGGCGACCCCGCCCCTGGCAGCAGCGAGGCGGAGAGAAAGCGGAGGGCGCCGAAGCCCGGAAGGAACGCGCCGGCCAGGTCCGCGCCCCTCCCGGCGCGCCGACCCACCCTTTCTCCCTCCCGCCGCCTACGTCGGCGGTGCTCCGGTCGCCATGGTGACCAATCGAGGCCCGGTCCCGCCCCCGCCCCCTGCCCCGGCCCCCTGACGTCGGCGCACGTCAGCGGCGGCGCGCGCCTGGCTGGGCCCTGCGGAGCGGGAGGGAAGGAGCGAAGGAGCGATCCGAGCGGCCGTCGCCCGAGCCGAGCCGCGCAGCCGGTCCGCCCGCCCGCTCGCGCTTCAGTCGCCGTGTCTAGCAGCGGGGCCCAGCATGGTCATGGCGGATGGCCCGAGGCACTTGCAGCGCGGGCCGGTCCGGGTGGGGTTCTACGACATCGAGGGCACGCTGGGCAAGGGCAACTTCGCGGTGGTGAAGCTGGGGCGGCACCGGATCACCAAGACGGAGGTGCGGCCCGGGGCTCGGCGGGAGCGTCCGAAGAGAGGGTTCGGGAGAGAAGCTGTTTACTGAAAGGGCAGGCTGTAGTGGTGCGACCGGGAACACCAGAGAGGCCGCGCCACTTGCTTAGGCAAGCGGGCCTGGGACCGTGAGGACCCAGAGGTGCTGGGGGTCGGTGAGCAGCGAAGGGACCCGGGCCCGGTCACCCAGACCCGAGTGCCGTCCGTATGGAGCCCGGTTCCCCCGGGCTTTGCCTTCCCCTACGCCACCCCCGGTGGCCCACGGAATTTCTCCCAGAGCCTCCCACCCGGGCCGTGACCTGGTCTGTGGCCTCGGCTCCGGAGCCCAAGTTCCGCGTCTTCCCCGCTTTCGACTGGGGGTGGGGTGGGAGGGGAAGTCTCGGTGCTCCCGGGCTGCGCGGTGAGAGATGTCGCCAGCCCGTGGAGGGGACCTCCTGCGCTCAGGCTCCGCTCACGGGGATCGCGCGGCCCCCGACCCTGGCTTTCCTCCTGCCCAGCTAAGAAGGGGCCTCCGTGTCCGGGAATGCCCAGGCAGCCACTGTCCTTCTTTCCCTCCTTTTGCCTTGCAAGGTCTCTGATTTGGTGCCTGGCTAGCTTGATCTCTTGCCTGAGGTATTTCCATCTAATACTCCAGACAAAAGAACTGGTTAAAATGGTCATCTCGATATTTGTACAGTTGGTGGGTTGGTTTTACTTGGGTAGGGTTGTCCCTTTACCAGGTGTGCATTCTGTCTGTAAAAATGAATTTCTTAAACCACATCAGAATGCCTCTCTACTCCTAAAGCCCTCAACTGCTTCCTGACGGCGAATCCAGCACACCCCCCCCCATCCATTGCACATTCTAATGCACCGCACATATTTTCTCACAAGTCTCTGTTCTTACCTAACCCGCCCCCCTTCCTTCCACTGCTTCAAGCTGCTCTCCTCAGGGTCTCTATTTTAAGATGTGCAAATTAAATATCTTGGGGGGGGGAAAGATAGAAACAAAACCATTCTTTAGAATAAAGCCTAGTGGTTTTGACGTACTCTATTCTGCCTCGTTGTAATTGTCACTGGAGTTTCACCCTTTTTCAGTTTTCCCCATAGTTTCATCCTGTTCCTTCCCTCCCCCCGCCCTTGTTAGTACTAATGCACTAGACTTTGAGGACTTTGAATTTAGAATAAAGTAGTACTTTTATTTTTTTCTAGGATGACTTACGTAAGGCGAAGGGCATTTGAAAAGTTGAATGATTTTAGTAGTAGTAGTATTTAAAAGTTTTGCTTAATGTCCATTTTTAAAAAGAAGGGGAATATATCATGTCATCTTCACTTTTTGCCCTCTACTGATCCTAAAGCAACCCAAATCTGAATTATTTGAGGCATTAGGACCAAGGTCACAAATTTTTCTTGCACAAATTTGGCGGTGTTTCCATTGTTAGCGATTTAGACTGAGATGTAATGATAATATGACAATACTGACATTACTAAATCTTTGCATAGTGTAATCTGATCCCAGTATTTTTTTTTTTTAATGAAGAGAGTGGTTCATTCCATTAAAGAGCCATGGCTGAATGTCATGCCATTTTCCTTTAAGTTACATAAAAAGGAAAACACTTAAAACGTGTATTTCATATGAGCCCTTGTTTAATGATTATCTAAAAATCAAACATATTGCACAGAATCTCTAAGTATAGAGATTCTGCAAAACTTTTGAGCTGTATTATTACATGACTGAATATCAATCCCATGGTTCATAATATTTTTTCAACAGCTCTTTATTAGTATTACTAGTAAATTTTACTTATGTTATTTTGTCAGGTCAAATTTAGTTAATATAACATCTGTTTAAGAACTCTATTAGTGGAAGTGATGGTAACTGATACTTTCTCTTGAGGTTGACAGTTCCAATGGTGTCTCTTTCAAGCTGATACAGCTTAATGAGCTAGGGGGCACTGTGGAGTAATGCCATCCTTCGGCTGTCAGATAGCTTGAGATCAAATGCATTTGTAATTGAAGTTACCAGTCAAATCATGAAAGAGCACTCAGATCCTAAATTGTGTATATATATTTATGAAAAATAATTTGTGTTAAATGCTAAATTGCTGGTTTGCAGATCCCATTTCCCTTGTGCTTCTTAAAAGAAATTATCACTGATTAAAATTAAAAAAGAAATAATGTGAACATCACTAAGTATGAGTGTGAGCTTTTGTGGTAATTTGGTGTGATTGAAGATGTTAAGATAGAGATGGATGAAGAAAATGGCCTGGCAATTGCTGAACAAAAGTGTTTGGAGATCTTAAAATATGTAAAGTGGATCTGTGAACTTTCACACATAATTTGCTTTAAGAATTGTTTAGCAAGAACACAAATACAGTGGTTTCTTAAAGTATACTATTTGTTGCCAATGAGTTTTTCTTTAAATCAGTAATTATTACCTTCATTGGATAAATATTTGCATCTTTGATAAATACAACTACCTTAAAACTACATTGGGCTGGAGATGTACCTCAGTGGTGAAGTGTTTGCTTAGTAAAGCCTAAGGCCCTGGGTTCTGTACCTAGCACCACAAAAACAAACATCACCACCACCAACAACAAAAAACCCTAATGTTTTATATGCTTTAACATCAATGTAAATTTATGTGTTTTAAAACTCAAAGATCAGCCACGTGCAGTGGCACACGCCTGTAATCCCAGTGGCTTGGGAGGCTGGGACAGGAAGATCACAAGTTCAAAGCCAGCTTCAGCAATGGCGAGGCACTAAGTAACTCAGTGAGACCTTGTCTCTAAATAAAAATACAAAATAGGGCTGGGGATGTGGGGATGTGGCTCAGTGGTCCAGTGTCCCTGAGTTCAATCCCCGGTACCCCTCCCCACCCCACCCCATCTCCCCAAAAAAACTCAGAGATATTTTTTCCCAAGTTTGCTCATGGAGAAAATTTTAGGGCTTAGCTTAAACATCTGTGTGATGAACAATTGAATTCTTTTATTTTTAATTGATTCTTCTCCATCTCTTTATCTGTATCACTCAAAAATGATAAATTTTCTGCAGAGTTTGGGAGATCCAAATCTGTTTCCCTTTCAGGGAAAAAAATTAGTAGAAAAAAGAGATCTTCATTTTGTCTAATCTATCAAACAGCTTAACATTGTTTAAGAAATATATTTACATCATCTCAAGCGATATATGTATGTTAGATCTCTATAAATTTTACATTCAGAATGGAAGGCAGCTGGTGGTAGAATCTAACTTCCTAATATAATACTTCATAAAAGCTTGTAGTACTGGTTTGTGGCTTATGAATTAGAGAAGCTAATTTTATAAAATTAGTGTAATGGGAAAAGGATAATAGCATTTAGGCTATTAAACTATTTTAGGAAATAGCAGTTGCTAGTTTTCTAGTCTGTGAGTATCCTTGAGTAATGTTTTATTTTATGAATAAAATACTAGGAAACAACTTTTTCCTTCTAATTAACTGTGTAGTTTTTTTTGTCTCTTAAGCAAAATTATGAAAAAGCCCTTTTGTGCCCCTTTTGTTGTTTTCCAGTGGTTAAAAAATGTTTCGCTATAGAAAATGCTAAGAATAAAGAGGCATATAGTACAAAAAATATATAATTTTTCCAACAATGGGAATAAACCATTTGTAACATTATGTCACATTTCCATCTAGTCTATTTAAATGTGTTTTTCCATAGATGAAAGCTCATGATACACATATATAAGTTACATTATTTTTTTCCATTTAACACTAATGCTGAAGCATTTGCTTATTGTGTATAACTTTATAACAAAATTTATAATAGTTGGATAGTGTTCTGCCTTGTAAATGAATCCCCCTTTTTTCCCCTACTTTTTTAATTGGTGCATTATAGTTATACATGCTGATGGGAGTTGTTGTAATTCATGCATGCACAGGATGAACCCCATTTTACTTAAAGTTTCCATTATTGTTGAATATTATTTTTTCAGTTTTCACTTATAGTAAGTAATTGGCAAAGAACATTTTTGTGTCTGTATTTACAATTTTTTTTTTTTAGGAAGAAGGAATTGCTGGTAAATTCCTAGAAGGGAAATTCCTAAGTGAGAAGGTATTATTTTTACATTAAAGAGCTACATATTTTTATTACCAAATCTATTATATTTACTATTGAGAAATTTAGAGGTTTAGATAAATGAAAATAGTTACTTATAATATCACAACTCAGGGATAACTATCATTAGTTATTTTCATCTCTTTCCTATGATAGATAACTGAGTTTTCCTCAGCATGGTGCCTCTTGTGTTCTTATATAAATAGCATGTAGATGTGTGGTCTAAGGAATCTTAATAGATTTTTCACAGAGGTTCTAAAAATTACCTTATTAAAATGGCATGTAGGTGTTAGGCTACTTACTTATCCTTAAGAGAACCTGGAATGCAGAACTAAAATCAAGGACATTCTGAAAACTGCTTTTGTTCACTGAAAAGCTGTCCATGTGCATTTTGGGACTTTCATATTTAGGTTTAATTCTTAAACTACTACCTTAAAATCTAGGATTTTTTAAAGGTTTCCAAACAGTTAAAGTACAAAATCGTCTTTCATAGCAACGACAGAAACAAGAAAAGGGGATATTACACCATGACTATAATATTTATTGAAGAGAACTTATTTTTTAATGTGTTTGGACTATATTTACTATTTTTTGCTTTCAAATTTTAAAACTCATTTCAGTAATCTTGGTATCAATCTTGCACGCACTGGAAAATATTCTAAATTTCAAGAAGCAGTGGTACTATGTGTAATCAAAGGACTTGTTATCAAATAACCACTAATATTTGTATTTAGGCCTATGTATGACCTTAATTGTGTTCAAACAAATTGTATTTGTCGGAGAATATACATGTGCTTTATTAGAAACATTTTCTCATCTCTTGGCATCACAGACAAAAAAACAATTGGTAAATTATCCTACTAAATATTGAAAATTATCTTGTTATTTTTCGGGAAGGAGAAAAATGTTCAAAATAAGAGTT